ATAACTTTAAATCGGTTGGATGAGATCCTGATAGTGAAAGTCGAAGATGAAATCGTACAGGTATCAGCGGTGATGACCCGATCTGAGGCTAGATCGGGAGTGCGTGTGGGATCTGATCCAGATTCCTTACGAGAGGAAGTCGTGAGAGAGCTACGGATCGAGCGGATCCGACAAGCGCAGGACGAGGAGTCGTGGATCATGGGCTTGAAGAAGTATTTGATCGGGGAGGTCCGGGATCTGACACAAGAAGAGGCTAAGATGTTCGGATCTATTGCCATGAATTACGAAGTGGATCAGCTGGATCTACTCTTCTATTGCTCGACATCTAAGGAAACTGCCGCATCGAGATAAGCTGATGCGACTAGTGATACCTGAGACCCTTCAACAGGACATTTTGCACCATTATCATACGAGTCTACAGGGTGGTCACCAAGGGGTTGGTCGCACCTATGATCGGATCCGTGATCACTTCCACTGGAGAGGTCTGTATAAGAGTGTTCAGCGATACATGGGGGAATGTGTTGACTGTGAGACAGGCAAGGGAAGACCGCGGATCCAGGGCGAATCGCCTGGTAACATCCAGGCAACGTACCCATTCCAGATCATTGCCATGGATCATATACCTTCATTGCCTAGATCCTTCAACGGCAACACTGAATTGCTGATCTTCGTGGATCTATTCTCGGGATATGTGATCGCCAAAGCCCTCTAGATCCGCTCAAACAATCGCCGAGACTTACGAAGAATGTGTTTTTCGTCGATTTGTCGCGAGCGAGGTGATCCGACATGATCGGGAGCCAGGCTATATGTCTGATTTCTTTAAGTCGTTCAACAAGATCCTGGGACAACGTCAACGGGCTACTATGGCATATAGACCCCAAACAATGGATCGCGGAACGTATGGTCCAGACAACTACCAGTGCTCTTAAGATGTACGTGGAAGATCTGGATCAACGAGATTGGGATGAGTATGCTGAACGACTCACCTTCGCGATCAATACCGCAAGGGATCGGATCCGAGGCGAAACATCTTTCTATATGATACATGGCTGGGATCCTAGATCCACCCTGGAAGCTGTGATCCCGGTGGGAAGCACTCGCAAGCACGCTCGAGATCCGAGAAGGTGGCGATATTGGATGCAGAAGTATTATCAGCAGGCCAGGGAACAGGTGAACCAACGCCTACGAGAAGCGATCGCGGATCGGGCCGATACGCATAATGATCTAGCACGACCGCATCCTGTAGAGTCTGGATCAAGGGTCTGGCTATACTTAGATCGAGTACGTGAAGGTTATGTAAAAAATCTGTCACACTTATGGCATGGCCCATTCCGCGTTGCCGAGAAGATCGGAGAGTACGCTGTGAGGTTGGAGATAGCAGGATCCGCATACAGCATTTTCC